GGGCCTTATCCCGGTGGCCCCCTCCCCGGTCCTCCCGGTCCCCCAGAACCGTATCTTTCCCATTCGTACGCCTACCAGCATTGACACTAATGTTTCCAAGAGTAAGAATTCGAAACCAATTCTCTACTGGGTTGATGGTGGTTGACAGAAACGTGCGGTGCCTAACGAACTTGTGTGATGTGTGTATGGTTGTGTTTTCTTTTACATATATGTGATACTACGACCTGTTTTTGTGTTATGGTAATAGGGTTAGTTAAGTGTGTTCTATTTATTCCAATTGTGTATTTATGTTTTGACTTTGGGATAAATGCTGCTGTACCGCTAAATTATTTAACTTGTCTTCCCTCTCTTACCCGCCGTGCAAAGTTGTGAAGTAGCAGTTAGTTTGCAAGGCAAATGCCTTCTTTCTCATGGCCGTATGTCAATTACGGAGAAAAACAGTGCCCCCTCCCCGCTCCTGCTCCACGTCGCCCCGGCCCCACGACCGCACGCCCCTCCTTCTTCCCCTATTTTCGTTATTCCTTTCCCTCTAGCCCCGCTCAAGGACCTCTTTGGCCGTTGAACAAAAGAAGAGACGAAAGACGTCCACTGCGCTTGTGCGCCTCTGTCGTGCCGGCCTCGGGGTCCAACGGAAACAACGGAAACAGTTAGTTGTCTCACCTGCGGCCAGGACGGGAGGCGAGGCGGTCATCACCGGGCAGGGGAGCAGGAGGAGGCTGGGCTCTGCCTGCACCCAATAATGAGTTTGAGTGTGAGAGAATTAAGAAGAGGTGAGGTGGGCGGGGATTTAACTTCGCGTTGTGAGTTTTGCGGGGATAGGATCGATATTAAGACAGGCCTGTTTTGTTTTTTTGTACTTATTGTAAGGACAGTCGGTTTATTATTACAAAATGTACAAACACAGTCACACAATATAATGCGTTGAACGTGAAGAACAAGGATGATTTTTATGACTCATGGTAACATTTACTCGTATGCAACCCACACACAGACACTCACACATACACACACGCACACACTGCATTATCACACTGTTGGTATTCTCCCACTCGCTCGCCCACTCACTAGTAGTGGTCGTAGTGGCCGCTGCTGTAGTGCGAGCTGCCGTGGTAGCCCAGGTCCAGGCTGGGGTAATGCTCGTGATGGTGCTCCTTGACGTAGACGGGCACCTCCACGGGCACCTTGTAGGGCTTGGGGACCTCGACGTGCACGGGGTAGGGCTTGGGGACATCATAGGGGACCGGGTGGGGGACGGCCACCTTCACGGGGACCTTGATGTGCACGGGGTAGGGCTTCTCGACGGTGACGGGGTACGGCCTGTCGACGTGGACGGTGTAGGGCTTGGGGACGGCCACCTCGTAGGGCCTGTCGACGGGCACGTGCACGGGCACCTTGACGATGTAAGGCACGTGCTTGGTGATCTCGACGGGCACGGGCTGCGGGATGGAGTAGGGGACGTGCTTGGTGATGACCTTGGTGATGGGCTCGTGGTGGCCGTACTCGTGGCCGCTGAGGTAGTCGCCGTAGCCGGAGCTGTACGTGTGTCCGAGCCCTAAGGACAGCTCAGAGCCGCCGTAGCCGTAGCCGAGGTCGTGGATGCCACGCTTCTCGCTCTTCTTGCCCTCCGTCGCCTTCTTGCCGCTCTCGGCTGCGGCGAGAGCCAGGCACATGATGGTGATTGCCTGAAACACGACAACACGAACACATTTACAAAGTGCACGGAAACGACTCGACACACAAAGACAGAGTTGAGGTTGTTCAGAAAAGAGAGCACAAAGTAAAGACCGAAAAAAAGGAGAGCACACAATGATAAAGTCCCGGAAGTCCTATCTTAATTAGAGACGATCAAACAACCCTCCCTTTAGATCCAAGCGCTGCGGTCCCAGGACACTAGCGCAGCAGCTGGCATTCGTTTTTTATGGATCCCCATAATTAGCGCCTCGAGGCAGACGCTGGAGTCTCCAGCAGCCCCCGAATAGACTCCAGCAACGGCGCACCACGCTGCTGCAGGAAACGTTAACTCCAGAGCCGGGCTGGGCTGGCCGACGATAGGATGAGACAAGGTCGCCTAGCCGGGGGACCTGTGTCGCGAAACGATTAAGCACGTTAAACAAGTACGAGCTCACCCTAGAAAACGAGAGAGAGAGAGAGAGAGAGAGAGAACGGGGTGGGTGCAGTGGAGTAAGCATAGGTTACGAGTGGTGGTGGTGAGTTAGACTAAGATGCAATGGATGTAGCTGAGAGCGGCAGTAGCGTCGCGACGCTGCCGCCGCGGAGAAGAGAGGGGAAAAGGAAGGAGGGGCGGTGGGGGGCACCAGCAGTGGGTCGTCCGCCAGCCCGTCCCTCCGGCCGGGCGCCGCGCGCACCACCGCCGCTCTGCGCTCTCTGGGGCAAGGTCGCTCTGCCTGGGCAGCTTACACTTTCGCCCTCGCGCCCCGTCCCGCCCCGCCCCGCCCCGCCCCAGCCCGGCGCCCACGGCACCGCGGCGCTCGCGTGGCGGGACGAGACGTGCGGCGAGCTGGACGCTGACGGACGACTCCCGCAAGGTCGCTGCAGGCCAAGTGTCCGGCGGACCCGTTGCACTGGACTTCGGTATGCAAATGCATTGGCACCACGTGAGGCGATCAGAAGGTGATTATTTGGATCGTGATCATATCGGCTCTTATACTTTCCTGAAATTCTATCTATTTTCTTAATACATTTCTTTTTTAGAAATCCTAGAAGTATGACAACACCAAAAACCCGAGCTCAAAATATTTTGTATGATATATATTGCGGGAATATTTTCCGCTGATTTGAATAGTTAATAAACAGTTTCACACTACTCATTGTATCCCGAATAACGCCGAAACAAAACACTTTCTGGCTCTAGGTTAATTGTCAGTTTCGGTTGAGGGAGCGGGTACTGCGCAGTCCGCCGTGGGCGCACGGGAAACCTGTGGGGGCCAGGGGCACCACAACAATACAAAACGGCCGGGTTGTGCTAAAGGTGTGACAGGCGCGAAGAAAGCAAGTCCATAGGGTCATGGGGTCCATGGGAACGGCGCGTGGGCGGAGATTGGGGGGGGGGGGGGCAGCCGTAACATTGTGCCGTGTGGGAAAACAGGAGCCCTACCCTACAACCGCCGCGCCCCGCACTGGCCGTCTCACTCTTCAGCGGCCGTTGCCCAACAACAACTCTCTGTGCAGAATGCCCATCAAACTTCGAGGCCCGTGGAGTGGAGCCGACATTTATCCAAACAACGGCGTGAGGAGAGGAGAGAGGAGAGGAGGAGAGAAGGAGAGGAGGAGAGAGGAGAGTCATTTAGAAGGCTCTGCCTGTTGGGCGGTGAGGAGCCAGGGGGTGGCGCTGTTGCACCGTGTGTGTGTGTGTGTGTGTGTGTGTGTGTGTGTGTGTGAGAGAGAGAGAGAGAGGGGGGGGGGGTGCAAGTACGTTGGCGCCGCACGGGCAGGGCGGCCAGCTTTGGGCATGATCACAGAGAGTTGTTTTTTTCAGTCATTGCCCGGCTCCACACAGCGCGCACACTGCACATTTAGCTCGCGTTGCACTCTGAGGGAGCTCACTTGCCACACAACGACAGTCGTCTTCGGTCTGCGTGTTTCCAAAACGAAAACAAAATTTGTTTTCTTTCGCCATATTCCCGCTGCCCCATGGTAACCATAATGATGATGATGATGGACAAAAGAGACGTTTCGGTGCGTGTGCAGTGTGTGCATCACCTGCAGTCCCGTGCTCAGCGATGCACATCAGCCCGCAGAATACAGACTGCAACGGATCTTGCCAACACACCCCATCTTAACTTATCTCCTCCATACCCACACATTGTTCCCACCTCCGTCACTCGCTGTCTTCACTTTTTGACGCTTTTTAAGACGAACAAAATATGATAGTACCTTAAATATATTACAAATTAATGACGGAAAATAACAACTGCGAAATTTTAAAAAGTTCTACAGTTTAAACTCCAAAACTTTTAGTTTTGTAGTGTAAACTGTCATCTTATGATACAAGTCGATTTTTTTCAATAAGTGCCAATTTTGTAAAATGTAGAGTGGTTCGTCGTTGATGATGACGCGAAATAAACTCGTCCTCAATTACTTTGATGAAGAGGTTGTGCCTTAAATAGGCAAATTTATTAGTGCTCTACAAAAGGTGGGAGAAGAGCCATCTGCGGTTTTTCTACAGTAAAGAATTTTATTTTGTAAATTTCGTTTGCAAAGCGCAGAGTGTCTTGGGGTGGCGTCTGAAAATAATAAGGAACTTTGTTTGGGGCGGAGTGGTGGGTCGGCCATGCGAGTCATGAGTCGCTACCGAACGCTTATCTTAACTGCCCTGAGCCAGGAGGCCCTGAGCCGTGATGCAACTAGTTTAGCGGCGGCCCGTCCCGCCCGAGAGCGTGTGCATGCGGTCAGTACACCGGGAAAAATAGGGGAGGGAGGACCGGGGACGGAGGCAGGTGTGAGACGTGCAAGATATTCTTTATAAAGAGGCAATGTGTGGCAAAATAACGGTTGTGTATAGGCAAACAGTAGCTACTTTAAATATGAAAATGTGGATGGTACAGAAAAGTATTCTCGCGTTTTGATCGTGTGTGGCACAAATTTGGTTGTATTGACAGCCGCACAGTACCGGCGGCAGAATGTCAATATCGAGTCCACAATGTGCGACATTATTTAGAATCTCTGATGAGGGACTGCGCAGAAATTACATTCGTTTGTCTGACTGAGAGACCCATTCAAAACGGACGGGGGAGCTCCGAGCGCCTGCGAGACTGGGCGTAGGCCGCCCCGCAGTACACGCGAGTACTGCAGGCACGTTTTGTGCCTACCTACCAGGCGCTAAGAGAACTTGCCGGCAGTGACTGAACTTGGGACTGGTTCGTAATAACGGCGTCTGGAGGATTTACAGGGTGGTCCACAGACCCCTTCCATTACTTTGCTCGTACTGTACCGGATGCAGGCGTGCGGGCGGCGGGCTGCATACTCACACGGGGCCGTAAGGCGCCTTGGTGAGAAACGGTAGGCAAGCCCACCCGCACGCCTGCATGCGGTTCAGTATAAGCAAAATAAAGAAAGGGGTCTGTGGACCACCCTGTATACACCTTCCTTCTGGACGATACCAACGCGCTCACATGTCCTGCGCGACAAATCAAACATACACGACACCATGAACTTCGCAACCGCTTGCATTCCTCGAGACCGCATCTCTAGCGGAGCTGACCGATGGCTCGCGATGCTGCTCGCCGCCGCCGTGCCCCCCGCGCACGTGACCACTCACCGGGGGCAATCACATCGGGTGGTGTGAAGTAACGGCGCTGCGCGTCACTCGGGGGCGGGGCGGGATGCGGCCCTGCTGGTCACGTGGCCAGCGCACTCACTGACCGGGCATTACCATCGCGTCCGCCAAATCAACCAAGGCTGGTCACGACTGGCAGACCAGACCGCATGGCCCTCCTCCTCCTCCTGCCCCCTTCCCCCTTTTCCTTAACCTCCTGGATGGTCTAGCTAGCCCATTTGCAGCATCGGGGAGGCCACGGACAAATTATTCCGATATGATATACGCTCGTGTCGTTTTGAGTTAGTCTATTTAGTATTATTTGTACTCGAGAGCCGTATCACAATTTTTACAGTGAACGGATTGCTAATAGTTTATAACTGAGTGCACAGCAACAGTTCAGTTGTTGATTCCAAGAGGTTAGTTTATAAAAAAAATCAATACTGTTGGCACTCACTCGTAAAACATATGCATTAATGGAGCACTTTTATGCATGACATAGAATGTCTAATAACTTAACTAAACTTGTTAAGTTCTCTATCCAGTATAGTCTATACATTTCGGTCAAGTTTATATGAATCGCATCGCATAGAGTGGATAAGAGACTTGGAGGCGCCATTTCATCACACGATGTATGCTTGAAGACATTTTCAAAATAATGTGTAGGTACGAAACGTGCTAATGAGTAATACATAAAGTAACGCTTCAGTCAATTTACATGTCAACAGTTAGTTCTGATCTTTAGACATTTTAATGCCGGCATCAGTTGAACTATATAGAACCAAAATTGTTCTTTTTACTAGTGCTACCTACTGATTTTACACTGATGAAAAAGGGTGCAACTGGCATGTAAATACTATTGTTCACCACAATTGTTCACACGTTTAAGTGTTGGAGATTTGAATAGTTAAAAGTGTTCAACAATAACTAGAACACATTAAAGTGGCAAAAGCTGCATAACGATCTCATCAGTTGTAAACACGAGACTCAAAATAATTGTCCAACTGTACCATTAAACACTTTCCAGTATTCAAATATCCAGTCAGACACTTCAAAGAGTGCGACGTAGTGTTAAGCACTTGCACGTGCGCGCTAAAGGCACACTTTTTTATCATGATGTATACTGCAGTGCACACTCTAGAAATGCAAAGAATAACATGAATGTACCTATCCGATTAACCGTTTTATAAACAGGCAACAAAACCCGTCGTTATGTTACTCAGTCCTTTACAGAAAAGTTGAAAAATGTCTTGTCTAGATATGATCGCACAGTTATGTCACTTCACTCGGAATGCACGGTTTAGGGAGTTGCGGGCGATTTTAACTATTTTTACATTTTTTTTCGAAAGGGCACTGATTTCACACCACTTAGTTCACTGCGTTGACTATTCACAGTTGTAATCCTGCGGGGTCTCCCGAACACTTGACGTCCACACTTGTTGATGATGCGACACCACCACACTGCACTCGCACACACTCACACCAACACACACACACACACGTGCTCGCACCACTCACCAAGAACTTCATGACTGCGCTGAGGTACGCACTGCTACACTAGGAGGATGAGAGTACGGCGTCCATACTGCAGCCCCACTTATATATAAGGGAGGTTGTGCAAGGGGCGTGCAGGAGCGCCGAGGGGCCCGGGAGGGGGTCCTCGGGGGGGCGGGCGCCACGGCGGGGAGG